CTAGAAATTTAAAATACTGTTTTAATTGAACAAGAAGAACACATGGACACAGGGAGGGGAGCACCACACACTGGGGTCTGTTGGGGGGAATAGGGGAGGGACAGTAAGGGGTGGGGAATTGGGGAGAGATAGCATGGGGAGAAATGCCAGATATAGGTGAAGGGGAGGAAGGCAGCAAATCACACTGCCACGTGTATACCTCTGCAACTATCTTGCATGTTCTTCACATGTACCCCAAAACCTAAAATGCAATTAAAAAAAGAAAAGAAAAAACACATACTGGTTTAAACTGCTCTGTGGGCAGGTCACTTAACTTGTCTCCAGCTCCTCTTCATAGAACTGTTGTGAGGATTAAATGACTAAATGTAAGTAAGATGTTTAGATTAATGCCTGGCATAGTTTCATATACCTTTTAGCTATTATTATCATTACTATTACTGCAACTATTACTACTATAAATATTATAATCTTTCTTTGTTCTATAATCATTACTAAGATATTTTTAAAGCATTATTTCTAGCACACTGCTTCTGGAGGAATGTACATTCTGTGCTAAACAGTATAGCATACTATACAGACTCTGGAGTCAGATTACTTGGAGCTGACTTCCAACACTGCCATTTAGTAGTTGTATGGTAACTTACTTAACTGCTGTTTCAGTTTCTTCTAAAAAATGGGGACAAGAATAGTACCAATTCTTCAATAGGTTGCTATGACGTTTCAGTGAGTTATAAAATATGCAAATGGCTCAGGACAATGGCTGACATAGAGAAAGTAAAATATATATTTGCTATTAATAAACAAGTAATATGTAAAATCATAAATTAATGTTTCTTAAGTGTTAATTATATGCCAGGTACTATGATAAGCATTTGATAACATTATTACACTTGTTCCTTACAAAACCCCTCCTATGCAGATGGTGAGAGAAGGCTTATAAAAGTAAGTATCTTGCCCAGAGTCATACTGCTATCAAGTGGCAGAAATTGAATGCAAACCCAAGTATTACTAGTGTATGCTCTTTGCGTTTCAGAATGAATCCTCAGCATACATGTCATCCATAACCTTTCCTCTCCAGAGCTACTACTAGATGGTATAATTAAGCGCAGTATTCTGCTCACTGATCCCAGAAGCAGTGGTTCTCCCCTTCTGTATACAGCGCCACCCCGCCCCTCATTACTATCAATAGAAAAAGGTGGTATGACAAATAAAATCAACTGTTATCTTTGTTATTTGAACAGTCTCTCACAAAGTAGAAGGCAGAAGTTTTTCTTTTTATTATTCAAGTAATCTATGAACCACAAGGAAAAATACTTTTACATGAAAAGTTACTTACAGAAGCTTTCCTTACAGAAAACTATTAATTGATTGAAATAAAACTTAAGGATCTTATAAAGGCATAACATGGTATTTATCCTATGACCTTCAGAGTTCTAGCATTCTGCAAAGGTAAGCCATAACTCAGAGAAGGCAAAATCAGCTGATCCCACACCTTGGCTTCAACTAGGGCAACTTTGCTTTTTATATGTTCTATCAGAGGTCTTCATAAAATTTCACTGGGGATGTAGAAAGTTTCTACTGCTAAAGTATTTTTTGTTATTAAAAAAAAGACTATTCTATAGGATACTTGAAATTCACAAAATTATAACCCCAGAGTTTCAAAACACTTGGTCCTTCTTTCAGACCAAGAGAGACGGACAAAGAGAGGAGGTACCACTTATTCTAAACTAAATCAGAGTTAGCTACTACGTAACCTAGAGTTTATGAATTGACTACATGATGCTCTAGTTACTATAGCAAACAGTAATAATTCCAACCAGAAAACTAAGCCTCATTAGTTCACATCGCTAATCTCTGTCCTGACTTAATTCCTCTTTATTCTAGTTACACTGGCTACCCTTTTCCCCTGTTACAGGCTAAAAGCTGATTATCCACAATCCCTAAAGAAAGTCTTTAAAATGTGAAGGCAGGATACAATCAAAAGAAAGTTACCAAAATAGATATACCATTCAGTCAAACTGTGGTCAGTGAAATGTAAAACATGCCTGTTATTACAGAAATCCTACTTTAATTCTCCCAGAACTATAAGAGTACTTAGAACAGAAATTATGATAAGGCCATAGGGTAGCTTTGCTACAATTCTAAAATTGTGGGAATAGATAAAATATTATGTAGTACAACAATGAAATAGAAGATAACCAAAATACCTATACATATTATGAGACAAGAGAAAAAAAGTCTTTATGAGATCATAATTATGCATACACCTATATAAATCATGTACATATGGAATAAGATACACAGAGGTGAAGTCAAAGGTCAGAACAGTGGTCGTAAATAATTTAGTTGTTTTCCTTAACATTTTCCAAAAAGGGGAGTAATAGAGGCCCAGAGAGAACAGACATTAAGTGAGACAATAAATAAGATTTAAGACAGATGAGAATCCATAAAAAGATTTAGAAGCCATCAGAAAGAGAGAGGGATGAGTAAAATCCCAATAAAAGAGGGGCATAGAAACCCAGAAAAGGAGGTTGATGGAGACCCAAGAAGAAGAAATAACAGAGAAAGAGAGAGACAGAGACAGAGAGAAAAAGGGTGTGGGGGAGAAGAGAGAGACAAGAAGGAAAGAGACAAAGAGAAAGAGTTACAAAGACGGAAAAGAAATCCAAAAGAGGGGGTGACATAGACCAGAGAAAGGGACAAAAACCCAGATACAGAAAGATAGAAACCTGGAGCCTACAGTAAAAGGTTGAGGAATCCAGAAAGGGGAACAAAGACTAAAGAGAAAGGGAAAAAAAGTGCTAGAGAAAGAGACTGATAGAAAATAGAGAGGGAAAGAAAGTCAAAGATGATTATAGAGAATGAGAGAAATTTTTTAAATTCCCAGATACATTTAAAGTCATCTATTCTAAAACCTAATCAAGTCTCTCACCTCTCTAATCCTGAAACAATCTTTCTCATCTTCACAATATCCTCAACTAATCTCCCTAATTGCCTCCTTAAACTTCTTTTCTGCTCTTCAACTTCTTAAGAGTTAAATGAGTTTACATTTATGAAGAATTAAAACAGTGCCTAGCATATAGGGAATGCTATATACATTAAAGTAAGTAATCAAGAGAAAATTTTTAAGAACTCTGCAAGGAGGGCTTTTTTCCAATTGAATCTATAGTAATCCAGCAGTTCATAGAACAAATAATTCTTACACAGGGGTATCATGATGTATCTAATAACAACAACAACAACAAAAAGACACAAAATTCCATTATAAAGAGGATACAACAGAGGTTCTACAATTTTACTTAGGAAGAGAGAAAAAAGTAAACGCACGCCAAAACAGATCAGAATAAAGATAATAATAAGCCATTTGGTGGGTTTTAAAAAAAAGGAAACATAAACCAAGTAACAGGGTTTAGAAATAAAAGAGCTCTGAAGTACTTATGAGGGTTTACAATCCCTAGTAAACCAGAGGTAACATGGAAACTAAAAAAAAAAAATTGAAAAGCAAGTGTTAATAAAGGGCCTATTTGCTAACTATAGTCATTAAAATGTATTAGTTATAATACACAGGTATATACGCAAAAATTGTACATCTGTAGGCATTTACATCAAAATTCTGGCTTAACACATTGGTATCTTCCTATACAACAGGTACTGTAATGAAAAAAAGATTTTCTAAGAAAATAATTTAAATAAAATTTAACAGAAAATGTCGTCGGGCAACATTTCTTGAAGAAAAAAAAAAACGAAAAAGCTTAATAGAAAATGACTAAAAACTATTATACTAGAAAACAGTTACATAGAGTAACAAGAACACTGAGCTAGAAATCAACAATTATGCATCTAAGAACATTAGATATTATATGCATTAAACCTGAAGTCCAAAATACCAAGTGAAATTATCCAAAGTCATATTTATTTAGCCAAAAGAATCAAGTGATTTTTTTTTTTTTTTTTTTGTGACGGAGTCTTGCTCTGTCGCACAGGCTGGAGGGTAGTGGTGCGATCTTGGCTCACTGCAACCTCTGCCTCCTGTGTTTAAGCAATTCTCCTGCCTCAGCCTCTCAAGTAGCTAGGATTACAAGCGTGTGCCACCATGCCCCCACTAATTTTTCATATTTTTAGTAGAGACAAGGTTTCACTGGGTTAGCCAGGATGGTCTCGATCTCCTGACCTCACAATCCACCTGCTGAGGCCTCCCAAAGTGCTGGGATTACAGGCCTGAGCCACCGCACCTGGCCTATGATTTGTTACCTGCCCTGCCTATGCACTCCAAACCAGTGAAGAGAAATGAGAAATAGCAACAGGCAGAAAAATAAAGACACCAAGGTAAAGCAGAAGAAATTTATTTTCTTTGCTTCCAACTTCATTGATTACTGTTGTCTTCTGAAGAGAAAGCGATTGGGGGGAGTTTAACAGCACAAAGTCTTCTTTATCCTTTGTTTTCACATAATTCAATGTGATCAGTGATCACATAAAGTAAGCACTGCAATATTACATCTTTTCCAACTTTTTCACTGCCCGAGGATGGTTCAATTTGCTTCCAAATGTTTAACCAAACAAAGTGAAGCTGATAAAAGGTAAAGAGATAGCAAGAGGACTTTAGTAGGTTTAACCTATTGCTTTACCTCTTATCAACTTCACTTAACAAAATCACTTAATTTTCCTCCCTGCAATAAATAACTATCAGAGGGCTGCATAAGCACCTAAGGAACATAGACATCTTTGAAAAAAAAAAGTATATAGATTTTCTTGAGAAGTGATTAAAAGTGCATTCCCTTTATCTTATTAATGCTTTCCTGATATAACTAATGATTTTCAATGACCATATCTTGGACTGAATATTGCTGGGGCCTAGTTTTGGAATTTTTCCATTCCATTAGCAAAACTGTCATATGGGGGGATGGGAGGATTAATTTCTAGAAAAATAATGAATTTATCATAATATTCAGTACACACACAATATTCAATACACAATATTCAGTACACAGTATCAAACCTACCTTCTCACCACTGGAGTAGAAGAAATAACGCAATCGGACTATGTTACAGTGATCTAGCTTTCTCATGATCTGGAGTTCTCGGTTCTGAAAAAGAAACAAATAAAAATGTATTTTTAAAGATAATAGCTATTCATCATATTGAACAAGATGCTTCTGAAATAACATTAAGCACTAAAATTAGCAGGTTTTAGATATGCTACTAAAAAGTGTAATCTGCTGACTGATTCTGATCTGCAAAATATTTGTTACTAGTCCATGAAATATCTGATATTGCTCTCCAATAAGACAAATACAGATATGGAGTGTTCAGAATTTTTATAACAATGACAGAAGAAATTGATATCTATGAATATAATAATAATTAGGACCCATATTTTATATTTTTAAAAATTTCAACTTTCTAGCAATTGATTAGTATTGTATTTCACAAAAATAACAGTCTTCAATGAATTCAAAATTGTAAAAACAGGTACTTTACCACAAATAGCTCGAAACAACCTGTTTTCTAAGGTGCAGTAAAAAAAAAAAAAAACAACTGAGCATTAACTCCATGAAAAGAGCTCAGCTGCTAAATTTTAGAAAAAGTTAAAATAATGCAGAGCGAAACTCAGTCTCAAAAAAAAAAAGAAATTACACAGTCCTGATAGATTTGTAGACCATTCAACACTATTTTCCCTTTGGGAAGTTTCAAAGTTATGTTCATTCTTCAAAAAAAGAAACCACTAAATAATATGATGATTTCTTAGTACCACAGATTTTGCAGCAGTAAATCTGACTAGACTGTACATTAACAAAGAAGTTATTATAGTCCAACAATATAACTGGCTGTCAGAAATCCAGTTAATGAAGGACAAATTATATAACACACAGATATAATACCAAAAAGCTAGTTTGTGGCCAAAAAAATAAAGTTTTAGTGAAAGTAATGATTTAGAAGAGCTACAAAACATAAAGTATATACCTAAGAATCTAGAAAAAAAATGGTTTTATGATTAGAAATGAGGCCAAGAAGGATCGAAACCAAAGAGCCAGATAAAGATAGCTATCCAACAGTAGGAAGAGTAGGATGGCCTCTAGTTCCTAGAAGATGAGAACAGAAGTGAATGTTCCTTAAAACTGACCTTTCAGAGCTGGGCTTATGTGTACAATGATATTTAAAATCCTTTTATAAGATAGCAATCTTTCATTCCATTACTTGTTAGTAAAAGTAATGGAAACAGAAACTAAGACTGAAAGTAAGTCAGAAAATATACTATAATTACTTGAGTAACTGATAAAAGACTCTTAAGCATTGACTAGTACAGAGAGAGGAACACAGAAAACTATCAACTTCAAAATTGTGGCCATTTCCATTCCAAATTGAAGCTATTTCTGGTATTATTTCTGTAGTTTTTTTGTTTTTGTTTTTTGTTTGTGTTTTTGAGATAAGAGTTTCATTCCTGTTGCTCAGGCTGGAATGCAATGGCACAATCTCAGCTCACTGCAACCTCTACCTCCTGGTTCAAGCTATTCTCCTGCCTCAGTCTCCCAACTAGCTGGGATTACAGGCACCCAACACCATGCCCAGCTAATTTTTGTGGGGTTTTTTGTATTTTTAGTAGAGACAGGGTTTCACCATGTTGGCCAGGCTGGTCTTGAACTCCTGACCTCAGGTAATCCACCCGCCTTGGCCTCCCAGAGTACTGGGATTACAGGCATGAGCCACAGCGCCCAGCATCTGTATTTTGTTAATTTACATGTAGGTAGTTGGCTTTGAAGAAGAACTGCTAGTAAATCAATCATTCCTCTCATAACATATAGCTGTAAGTATTGATTTTTTTAACATAGCCAACTATGTTAAAATAAGTTATTTTTCCAGACTCATTAACCAAGGTAACAGACAAATATTAAGTTCCCAGATAACAGAAGTTGTATAAGATTAGGCATAATACTTTTGATCAAAAAGAATGCATACGTGAAGCAAGAACAAGGACCTACATATTCATCTACATTTACTCTTCTGTTCCTATTGTGTTGCTTTAAAAATGTCTCATTTTAGATAAGGAAATTAAAGAAAAGCTCATGAACCAGGTAAGGCATGAACACAAACCTGAATGATATGAAGATATGAACCATCTGAAGATCTGAGGAAAGAGCACTGTGGTTATAGCGAACTAAAAATGTAAAAACCTAGTGGTGGGCTTGACATATTCAAGAAATAGGCAGCAAGATAATATGGCTGCAACTTTCTGAGTAAGGGGAGAGAAAGGTCAGAGTTATGTTAGGTGGGCAGGCGCAAGATCATATAAACCTTCATCGAATGTGGTAAGAAACTGAATTTCACTCTAAATGTAAAGGGAAGCTAACAGAGGTTTTGACCAGGAAAGTGATACAATCAGATTTACCTTTCAGAAAAGCACTATCACTCGAACCCAGGAGGTGAAGGTTGCAGTGAGCTGAGATCTCGCCACTGCACTCCAGCCTGGGCGACAGAGAGAGACACTGCCTCAAAAAAAAAAAAAGACATTTTAAAAATTTAAGAGAATAAATTTGAAGAAAAAGGTAGATCAAGAATTCTGGTTTTTATATATTATGTTTGAAATCCTTAGACATTCACGTGAGGTCAGGGTAGAAGGTAAGGCTGGAAAAATGCATTTGGAAGTCATCTATATTAAGAAGATTTAAAGCAAGAGTACCTAATAATATCACCTAAGGAAGAAGTTCATACAGAAAAAAAAAAATCACGAAATGAAAAATAGACGACACAGTGGAGTAGTTTATAAAGCAGGAAGAAGAACAAGAAAGAATGTTATTTTAGAAGCCAAGCAAAAATTTTTAGAACAACTGCGTGATCATTTATGTCAAAAGCTACTGAAAGATGCATTAAGAGAAGTATAAGGACCTAAATAGTGATCTATGTTTACTCTTCTGTTCCTATTGTGTTACTTTAGAAATACCTGTATTTTAGATAAGGAAGCCAGAGAAAACCTTATGAAGGAGGTTAAGATATGAACATCAACCTGAATGATATAAAGGTAAGAACCATGTGAAGATCTAGGGAAAAGCACTGTGGTTACAGGGAACTGCAAATGTAAAAACTCAGTTGTGGGTTTGGCATAATGGCTAGATTAAAAAAGGAAAATGACAATTGCTATGACAAATGCCAAAATGTTGGTGACTCTTACACAAGAATGGTTTCAGTAGAACAATGGTTAAAAAAAAAAACTGAGTAGACTGAATTAAAGGGGGAATAGGGGACACAAGGTCCTAAGGGGTTAGCAAGTTTGAGGAGTGATTTCCAGGTACAGGAGAATGACGAGAGTAGCAAATCCACTCCCCCAAAATAATTATAAAACTGAACTACAATCACTTAAGAGCTCTGGAAACTGATCAAAGGCTATAACAAATTCAGAAGCATTTATTCTTTAAAAGCTGATTAGATTTCACTGAACAGTAGAGAAGAATGGCTTTCTTTGCCAAGGGATGCTACCATCCTTCTACCACCACCCAATTCAGTCAGTGAGGCAGTTTTCCCAGGGCAGCATTGGCAGTGAAAACCAGAGGGCTACAGTCATTTAGGATAGAGAGCAAAAACCCATGCCCAGTGGCACTCACAAGAAAAATAGCAAATGTAAAGGATACAAAGGGGAAAGGCCCACAGTTCTGCTAAAATGAGAATGTGGTCCCAGTTGGGGAAAATGACAGACTAGAGGGATATCTAGAAATTTAATAAGGGGACACTGGAAATGAGAGAGGCACAGAAGGCCTAAATTAGCTCCCACACATACCTGTCTGACAGGCTGTGCACATATGAGGGGGAGTGAGACTCAAGAGAGTCCAGAGAAAGTAAAAGCCAAGGCTAATTTGAAAACTGTCAGAATTTTGAATATGCTTCCCAATTCACATCTAGAATCATCAAAAAAATGCTGAAAGTGGCTGGGCACCATGATGTTGGTAATCCCCGCACTTTGGGAGGCCAAGGCAGATGGATCACCTGAGGTCAGGAGTTCGAGACCAGCCTGACCAACAAGGTGAAACCTCGTCTCTACTAAAAATACAAAAGTAGGAGGGCATGGTGCACATGCCTGTAATCCCAGCTACTCAGGAGGCTGAGGCAGGAGAATCGCTTGAATGCAGGATGCGGAGGTTGCAGTGAGTCGAGATCATGCCACTCTCCAGCCTGGGCAACAAGAGTGAAAATCCACCTAAAAAAAAAAACAAAAAAACAACAACAAAAAAAAACACAGTGAAAGTTTTAAAAATTCAAGATGTGTAAGCACAATCTTTAAGCAATAACTGGCTGACCATGAGGCTATACAAAGGGCTGATCCTAGGAAATCAGGCTTAAAAAATGAAAATTAGAATTAAAATTTTAACGCAGAATTCTAGGGCTTCTATCTATTCAGGGGAAAGGTTCCACAGATTACATACAGATTAGTTATTTAAAAACAAAACAAAAACAACAATTAAAAAAACCCACCAAACACAAAACGATCACTTTCAGGAGGTTTAAAAAAAAAAAAAGTCCAGGCGCAGTGACTCATACTTGTAATGCCAGCACTTTGGGAGGCTGAGGCTGATTGATAGCTTGAGCCTATGAGTTCAGCTAGCCTGGGTAACATGGCCACAAAAACTCGTCTCTATAAAAAAAATACAACAATTAGCTGGGTGTTGTGCCGTGCACCTGTAGTCCCAGCTACTCAGGAAGCTGAAGTGAGAGGATGGTTTTAGCCCGAGAGGTGGAGGCTGCAGTAAGCTGAGATCATAGCACTGCACTGCAGCCTGGGCAACAGAGGCCAGACCCTATCTCCCAAAAAAAAAAAAAAAAAATTTCGGAACCTAGCGATGCTACAATATATTATATAATATGTCCAATTAAAAAAAATTGTGAGACATGCAAACTACAGGAAAAGTTGACCTATACTCAGATTCTTTAAAAAAAAAAAAAAAAAGGCAGTCAACAGAAATTCTGGGTGGACACAGCTGTTGGATTTAGCAGATAAAGAATACAAAGCAGCTATTATAATTTATAATTAAGCCTGAAAAATTAAAATAAACCATATTTTAAAAATCAAAGAAAAATATGACAATTTCACAAGAGAATC